GAAATATCTCATCAGAGCACATGAAAATGGATAAATGGTGGTTATGGTTTCAGTCTAGGAGAGTGGATAAAGGGCAATAATCTGTCCCAGAGCAGCTGTGGCTGCCCCATCCCCATCTCTGCAGTGTCCAAGGCCAGGCTGGAGCACCCTGGGATGGTGGAAGATGTCCCTGCCCATCTGGATGAGATTTAAGGTCCTTTCCAAGCCAAACCATTCCATAATTCTCATTTTCATCACTCCTGCTGCTGGCAGCCTCCTGTGCACAGTGTACAGGTGGATTTTGGGTGTGGGGAATTCTCTGCTGGCTGGAATCACTGCCCTTCCAAAGGAAAACAAATACAGAAATCCTCCAGCATTTGTTGGTATGTAAACTAATCTGGGTTACACAATTTAGGTTACTAAACACTTCTCTGTGTGCCAAAGATCCAAAACTCAGATATTCTGTAACTCCCAACAGATGTTCCCTAAATATTTCAGATGCTTGTTTCACCCCGTTCCCTTAACCCCATCAAAACAGCAACGTTGCATAAAGCCCTGGCACTGGGAATGTTTAACAAATGTTTAAATGTTTGGAGCTGGGAAAAGCCACCAAGATCCCCCTTTGTCCCCAGGTTCACTCTTTTCCTTGCCTTTTCCAGTGGGAATGTTGTTGGCTACCACGTCATCTGTCCCTGCAAGCCCTGCCTGCAGTCCTGCAACAACGGGCACCTCTGGATGTTCCACAGCCAGGCCGTGCTTGGCATCAACAGGCTGGACCCTTCTGGTGAGGGACAGCTTGGCTTCCTTCCTTTCCCTCAAATCCTCATCCCCTTTCCCTTGGCTTCCTTCCTTTCCCTCAAATCCTCATCCCCTTTCCCTTTTCCTTTCCCTCAAATCCTCATCCCCTTTCCCTCAAATCCTCATCCCCTTTCCCTTGGCTTCCTTCCTTTCCCTCAAATCCTCATCCCCTTTCCCTTTTCCTTTCCCTCAAATCTTCATCCCATTTCCCTTGGCTTCCTTCCTTTCCCTCAAATCCTCATCCCCTTTCCCTTGGCTTCCTTTCTTTCCCTAAAATCCTCATCCCCTTTCCTTTGGCTTCTTTCCCTTTCCCTAAATTCCTCATCCCCTTTCCCTTGGCTTCCTTTCTTTCCCTCAAATCCTCGTCCCCTTTCCCTTGGCTTCCTTCCTTTCCCTCAAATCCTCGTCCCCTTTCCCTTGGCTTCCTTTCTTTCCCTCAAATCCTCNCCCTCAAATCCTCGTCCCCTTTCCCTTGGCTTCCTTCCTTTCCCTCAAATCCTCGTCCCCTTTCCCTTGGCTTCCTTTCTTTCCCTCAAATCCTCATCCCCTTTCCCTTGGCTTCCTTCCTTTCCCTAAAATCCTCATCCCCTTTCCCTTGTCTTCTTTCCCTCAAATCCTCATCTCCTTTCCCTTGGCTTCCTTCCTTTCCCTAAAATCCTCATCCCCTTTCCCTAAAATCCTCATCCCCTTGCCCTTGGCTTTTTTCCCTTTCCCTCAAATCCTCATCCCCTTGCCCTTGGCTTCTTTCCCTAAAATCCTCATCCCCTTTCCCTTGGCTTCCTTCCTTTCCCTAAAATCCTCATCCCCTTTCCCTTTTCCTTTCCCTCAAATCTTCATCCCCTTTCCCTTGGCTTCCTTTCTTTCCCTCAAATCCTCATCCCCTTTCCCTTGGCTTCCTTCCTTTCCTTAAAATCCTCATCCCCTTTCCCTTGGCTTCCTTCCTTTCCCTCAAATCCTCGTCCCCTTTCCCTTTTCCTTTCCCTCAAATCCTCGTCCCCTTTCCCTTGGCCTCCTTCCTTTCCCTCAAATCCTCATCCTCCATCACAGAATCACAGAATCACCAGGTTGGGAGAGACCTTCAAGATCATCGAGTCCAACCCAGCCCCAACCCCTCAACTCAGCCCTGGCACCCAAACTTGTTTTAAACACCGCCAGGGATGGGCACTCCACCACCTCCTCAGTCCCTGGGAATTCCAAAATTCACAGAATTCCCTGAATTCACAGAATGGCCAGGTTGGAAGAGACCTTCAAAATCATCAAATCCATCCAGCCCCAGCACCTCAGCTCACCCCTGGCACCCAGTGCCAATCCAGGCTTGGTTAAACACCCCCAGGGATGGGCACTCCACCACCTCCCCTGGCAGAACATTCCAGAGCTTTATTGTCAGATTATGCTCTTTTCTGACCCACAGATGGGGCAGCTGAGAGACATTTAAAAACTTTTATTCCATTTTCAGTCTCATGTGAATGGTGAGACAACTCAGATGTTGTAATTCACACCATCACCATCAGAAATTAACTATTTCTTAATTACAACACTCATACATTATAAGCCTTTCTTGGCCTATCAGCTTTTGCCACACCGTGCTGTAAATGCCTCATTCTCTACAAATTCATTTCCCACACTTTATCACCCTTTCTGTAAAACACTTTTCCATATAATATAATATAATATAATATAATATAATATAATATAATATAATATAATATAATATAATATAATATAATAATCACACAAACTTAAAGTACCGCATCCTTAACTTCTTGTTCACCTTTGCAACGACTTTTATTTTTTCTGTATCTTAAACCTTAAAATTTTAAATCTTAAAATTTTAAACTTTCTTCTTCTTAACATGTTAACAGAAACAATATTAGTAATATTATTTTTATATAATTGTTGTATAATTATATATAATGTTATCTTTTTAATAATATTTAAGATCTGTTAAATTTTATATGTTAATATATTTATATGGAGTGTTATATATAATGTAATATAATGTAATATAATAGTATATAATATAATAGTATATAATGTAATATACTAGTATATAATATAATATAATGTAATGTAATATAATATAATATAATATAATGTAATAGTATAGTATAGGATATAATAGTATATACTATACTATACTATACTATAATATATATTATATTATATTATATTATATTATATTACGATATAGTATGGTATATTATGGTATGTTACATTATATGTTATATTAATTTTATAATATTACTTCTGTAATTATTTTTATATTAATTTTCTATAACGATAATATATTTTAAATAATTTTATATATTTCTATAAGTATACAATAATATATTTACATAAATATATAAATATTTATCCTATGAATTTGGATGAAAAAATAAACAACAACACTCCCAAGCTCACTTTGAAGGAAGATAGAAAATAGATTTATTCACCACGAACATGACTTCTGGCTTTTGCAGGGATTATTTTCTCTCAAAATAAACAGTTGAGCAACTTAAAAATAAGTTCACAATCCAAAAATATCTTTATTTTTCCCCTTCCTTTGTCTCCTTCCCGCCAGGTGTGGATGTTTTGCTGTGGGGGAACCTGCCAGCTCTGGAGGAGAGCACGGAGGGAGACACGTCCTGCGCCTCCGAGGAGGAGGAGTTCATCAGATGAATTCCACCTGCAGCACCTTCCCTGCCTCTCTGCTCTGCATTGGTTTCATTTCACCCGCTGGCTCATCAGAGCTTAAACAGCAAGAAAAAAAAAATCAGAAAATCTGGGAAAAAAAAAATCAAAAAAATTGAATTTTTCTTGCTCTTCCCCTGAATCTGCCTGAGCAGATCCACCTTGGAAATGCCAGCACAAAGTGCATTTACTGAGCTCTGTTGTGCTTTTTATTCTTAACCCTCCTCAGCTGATAATCCTTTATTTCTTCTTCCCCAAAGCACTTTGCACAGAGCAAAACCTCTCAGCTGCTCTTCTCAGTTCAAAGGAGTTTTTAGGAATAATCACCCAGGTCTGGCAGAGCTCAAAACTCCAAATTTTCTGCTCTGGCTCTGGGATCTGCTGCTCTTTGCAGCTCCTCTGCACCTCAGGATGCTCCTAAATATGCCCTGGGAAGCCTCTTGGAGCATTTCCAGCTTTATTTTTCAATACTTTCAGGGTTTCAGCACCAAAATTTTGCTTTTCTGGGCTGTTTTAAGAGCATTTTTGATACTCATGCAATGTCACATGGGTCTCTTATTAAAGTTTCCATATAAGGGGGGCTGAGAGTCAGAAGGAAAATAATAAAACCACGTTTGATTATTATTATTATTAATAAAACCATGTTTTATTATCCTGGTTTTAACCACCCGGGACCAATGGCAGCATAATAATAATAATAATAATAATAGTAATAAGGATTCTGTCTCTACAGAGATCAAGTTGATGTTTTTCTCACTGATAAATCCTAAATCTGCAGTTTCTTAGTAGTACTTCAAGGCTACAATGGAGTTTTTCTTCAGGGCAGCAATAAAACCCATCCACTTTCATATATATATATATATATTTTTTTTTTTTTTCCCTCTCCAAAACAAAACTCAGTCATGAAATTGGGTCTTTTTAGAGAAAGCCAGAAAAATCAAAGTTAAATATTTGGTGTTCGTGCCTAATTTCCCATCCTGAGGTGCACAGACAATCCGGTTCCTGTAGGTGATGAATTCAAAGCTCATTTTCAGAGCTGTTAACAAACCACCATGTTTAATTTCTGAACTAATTCTGTCCCCTTCAGCTGCTCACCTGAAGGCCGCCAATAAAAAATTCCAGATAAAAATCATATCAGAGATCAGAGGGAACTTTTAAATGTGGATTGATGCTGAATAAATCTCTCTGTAGGCTCCTGTGATACTTGAAAGGGGTGCAATGAATTGTCTCAGTATTTTTACTGCTCATTATCCATTTCTTAATTAATGGCACTACCTCTTCTGCACTGTTTAAATGTGTATTGTGTATATTTGTATGTGTGTGTCTTGTTTTGAATTCCTGTGTTGTGTCTGCCCAGGAAATAAAAGCTTTGGACTCTGGAGTCTTCAGGGCTGTCATAAATGGGGATGTGGAATGATATCACATAATCAAAACAATAAAACAGCAGCTTGGATTAAAAGAGTAGAATAATGAGGGGTTTTGTGTTATGAATTTGTTTTAGACAACCCCAAAAATAGATTCACTGACAAGCCTGACAGTTTCTCAGTCTCAGTTAACCCTTTATAACTCAATATCCCAATTTCTGCCAGGTTCCTGTGATCACTACAGCATCAAGCTGCCAAGGTGACACCTCAAAATTTAATTTTTTTTTTTTTTCCAGCAGAATTCGCGAGCCAAAAATAAATCTGATTATTTTTGCATAAGCACCACAACAGTTCAAGCCTAATTGTGCCTGTTGCCTGCTCTCCAGCACTTGTCATTTGTGACCTTCAGCGCTCTGAGTCAGCAGCTCCTCTCCCACAGGGATGCAGGGGATGAATTCCTCATCAAATCCATAATTCTGGGTTTTTATTTTTGCTCCCCATCTGCACACACAGAACTGGAAGTTCTGCCATGAGCTCGCTCCAACAGGCCTGTGCAATTAAAGCAGCTCACCTCGTCAGCTGATGAGCCAGACTTTAATTCTGGAAATTAAGAATTATGCAACTTTTGAAGGAGTTCAGCCCTTGATTTTTGACAATAAAGTTGTAGGTATTGTACACAAAGCATGCAAATATCCCCTATTGCCCCAGCTGTCATGGATGTCACCAGGGTAATCAATCACGTCCAGGGCTGCCTGAAATTAAAAAATATCTGATGAGCAGTTTGTGTTAAAGCCACAGCAGCTCATTCCCAGAGTTCGGGGCTGTTCCCAAGGATCACCAGGGTTATGGACAGATTGAACCCCAAACTGGCACAAAACCAGATCAGAAACACTCCCAGGTCCTTCACCCCACCCNTTCCTTCCTTTCCCTCAAATCCTCATCCCCTTTCCCTCAAATCCTCATCCCCTTTCCTTTGGCTTCCTTCCTTTCCTTAAAATCCTCATCCCCTTTCTCTTGGCTTCCTTCCTTTCCTTAAAATCCTCATCCCCTTTCCCTTGGCTTCTTTCCTTTTCCTTAAAATCCTCATCCCCTTTCTCTTGGCTTCCTTCCTTTTCCCTCAAATCCTCATCCCCTTTCCCTTGGCTTCTTTCCTTTTCCTTAAAATCCTCATCCCCTTTCTCTTGGCTTCCTTTCTTTCCCTAAAATCCTCATCCCCTTTCCTTTGGCTTCTTTCCCTTTCCCTAAATTCCTCATCCCCTTTCCCTTGGCTTCCTTCCCTTTCTCTAAAATCCTCATCCTCTTTCCTTTGGCTTCCTTCCTTTCCCTAAAATCCTCATCCCCTTTCCCTTGGCTTCCTCCCCTTTCCTTAAAATTCTCATCCCCTTTCCCTTGGCTTCCTCCCCTTTCCTTAGGCTTCTTTCCCTCAAATCCTCATCCCCTTTCCCTTGGCTTCCTCCCCTTTCCTTAAAATCCTCATCCCCTTTCCCTTGGCTTCCTTCCTTTCCCTCAAATCCTCATCCCCTTTCCCTTTTCCTTTTCCCTCAAATCCTCATCCCTTTTCCCTTGGCTTTCCTTAAAATCCTCATCCCCTTTCTCTTGGCTTCCTTCCTTTTCCTCAAATCCTCATCCCCTTTCCTTTGGCTTCTTTCCCTCTCCTTAAATCCTCATCCCCTTTCCCTTGGCTTCTTTCTCTTTCCCTAAAATCCTCATCCCCTTTTCCTTGGCTTCCTTCCTTTCCCTCAAATCCTCATCCCCTTTCCCTTTTCCTTTCCCTAAAATCTTCATCCCCTTTCCTTTGGCTTCTTTCCCTCAAATCCTCATCCCCTTTCCCTTGGCTTCCTTCCTTTCCCTAAAATCCTCATCCTCCATCACAGAATTCACAGAATCACCAGGTTGGGAGAGACCTTCAAGATGATCGAGTCCAACCCAGCCCCAACCCCTCAACTCAGCCCTGGCACCCAAACTTGTTTCAAACACCCCCAGGGATGGGCACTCCACCGCCTCCTCAGTCCCTGGGAATTCCAAAATTCACACAATTCCCTGAATTCACAGAATCACCAGGATGGAGGAGACCTTCAAAATCATCAAATCCATCCAGCCCCAACCCCTCAACCAAACCCTGGCACCCAGTGCCAATCCAGGCTTGGTTAAACACCCCCAGGGATGGGGACTCCACCACCTCCCCTGGCAGAACATTCCAGAGCTTTATTGTCAGATTATGCTCTTTTCTGACCCACAGATGGGGCAGCTGAGAGACATTTAAAAACTTTTATTCCATTTTCAGTCTCATGTGAATGGTGAGACAACTCAGATGTTGTAATTCACACCATCACCATCAGAAATTAACTATTTCTTAATTACAACACTCATACATTATAAGCCTTTCTTGGCCTATCAGCTTTTGCCACACCGTGCTGTAAATGCCTCATTCTCTACAAATTCATTTCCCACACTTTATCACCCTTTCTGTAAAACACTTTTCCATATAATATAATATAATATAATATAATATAATATAATATAATATAATATAATATAATATAATATAATATAATAATCACACAAACTTAAAGTACCGCATCCTTAACTTCTTGTTCACCTTTGCAACGACTTTTATTTTTTCTGTATCTTAAACCTTAAAATTTTAAATCTTAAAATTTTAAACTTTCTTCTTCTTAACATGTTAACAGAAACAATATTAGTAATATTATTTTTATATAATTGTTGTATAATTATATATAATGTTATCTTTTTAATAATATTTAAGATCTGTTAAATTTTATATGTTAATATATTTATATGGAGTGTTATATATAATGTAATATAATGTAATATAATAGTATATAATATAATAGTATATAATGTAATATACTAGTATATAATATAATATAATGTAATGTAATATAATATAATATAATATAATGTAATAGTATAGTATAGGATATAATAGTATATACTATACTATACTATACTATAATATATATTATATTATATTATATTATATTATATTACGATATAGTATGGTATATTATGGTATGTTACATTATATGTTATATTAATTTTATAATATTACTTCTGTAATTATTTTTATATTAATTTTCTATAACGATAATATATTTTAAATAATTTTATATATTTCTATAAGTATACAATAATATATTTACATAAATATATAAATATTTATCCTATGAATTTGGATGAAAAAATAAACAACAACACTCCCAAGCTCACTTTGAAGGAAGATAGAAAATAGATTTATTCACCACGAACATGACTTCTGGCTTTTGCAGGGATTATTTTCTCTCAAAATAAACAGTTGAGCAACTTAAAAATAAGTTCACAATCCAAAAATATCTTTATTTTTCCCCTTCCTTTGTCTCCTTCCCGCCAGGTGTGGATGTTTTGCTGTGGGGGAACCTGCCAGCTCTGGAGGAGAGCACGGAGGGAGACACGTCCTGCGCCTCCGAGGAGGAGGAGTTCATCAGATGAATTCCACCTGCAGCACCTTCCCTGCCTCTCTGCTCTGCATTGGTTTCATTTCACCCGCTGGCTCATCAGAGCTTAAACAGCAAGAAAAAAAAAATCAGAAAATCTGGGAAAAAAAAAATCAAAAAAATTGAATTT